GAATAGTTTCGAAAATCGCACCCCAGTTCAGAATCCTTACCGCGAACGAAGCTATTGTGAAAGTAGAAGCTGTTCACGGAACCTATGATCGGGTTAACCTGATCGCCAGCAGACGTATTTTGTCTTTTTTTAAGGCCGAAACCCACTAGCAACACGCCACGCCACCCCACGCCATGTGACACAGGTTCACGTGGGACAGTTTGTGTGCAAATGGACGGATGGCGTGGCGTGCCATGGCGTGGTATCGCGTATTGCAAGTGTGTACGCAGCACATATAAATAAATGGAAAAATATACGCATACATTTTCGTCACATGGCGTGGTGTGGCGAAGCATGACGTGGCGTGTTGCTAGTGAGTTTCGGCCTTTAATCGTATTCATTAGGGAAAGATAGAAAACATTCAGCTGTTGATCGGGTTAACCCGATTATAGTTTCCGTGAACGGCTAAATAGAAAAACAGTCAAAAGAGATAATGCATGCTGCATGCAGAAGGCGCCCATAGTGCTCTTCCTCAGTTTGGTCGGATCAAAGCTCGACTCGAAGCTAATCTCTGGCTAACGAATGTCGGGCGCTACGTCATCAATACTTGAATTTATCATAGACATTGTAGTTTGCTGCTGCCTTTTGCACGCGCATTGTGTCTGCCATATTTTATATGATTACTATCGATATTCGTATTGTTGATAGTTAACAAAGAGAGATGTAATACAAGCAAAATAAATTTCCGTGCTACGACAAATGACGACTGAATCGTTAAATTTTTTTCAAAATATGGATAGATTAAATTAGGCGCCTTCGGCGCCCCGATACGCCACCCCCTAGTTGCGGCCCTGCGTCCAATACATTCGTTAAAGCTACCGAAGTTCCAAAGCCTTTGCGGAAACCACATTGTGTACTTGGAATAATTTTGTTCTCTATACAATATTCGTACATTTGCTCATATAGTATTTTTTCAAATATTTTTGACAAAGCAGGCAGAATACTTATAACGCGTAGTTCATTAAAACTACACCTTTTCCATAAGTATTTTAGAATGTATCACTTGTATTTCAGAATCATCAATTCTAGTTCAGAATACGTCAATTGTATTCCAGTTGTGTAAGTTCAATTTCAGAAAGTGTTATTTGTATTTCAACTGTGTCAGTTGTAGTTCAGAAAACGTCATTTGTATTCTAGTTTGGTCAGTTGTATTTCAGAAAAAGTAATTTGTATTTCAGTTTGGTCACTTGTATTTCAGAAAACGTCATATGTGTTTCAGATTATTTATTTGTAAATCAGAAATTGTAAATTGTATTTCAGAATTCGTCAGATGTATTTCAGATGTTATCAATGTAGTGTATTAAATGAAATTTATGATGGTTCACGTGTACACCTTGCTTGTGTTGATTTGGGATAATCTGTTCTTATAATATTATTATCTGAAATACAACTGATGATTTCTGAACTACATCTGACAAATTCTAAAATATAATTCACGCTTTCTGAAATACAATTGACTCTTTCCGAAATATAATTAAATAATCTGAAATACAATTGACGCTTTCCGAAATACCATTCACTAGTCTAAATTGCAATTGACGCTTTCTGAAATTAAACTGACGGTCTCTGAAATACATATGGAAAAGGTGTAGTAGGATTAGATGTTTTGGTGAGCGGTTTTCCTACAGAGATCTTCCATTGGTCCGGAAAGTAATTATTCTCAATGCAGCAATTAATTATATGCGTTATATATTTATCGATGTAGGGACTGCAATATTTCAGCATAAGTGGGGATATATCGTCTACACCAGTGGCATTGCTTTTTATATCATTTAAGATTCTATGAATCGTAGAACACTATGATAGTTTAAAACTGAAACTAAAATTATCGTTATAGATATTATTTGTATAAAAATTAATTTTATCTGTGCAGTTGGATTTATTCTGTAAATAAGTAGCAAAATGTTTGTTAATGGCGTTAGGTTCTGACAAATATTCTGGGATTTCATTATTTTTGTTAGTACATAATATATTAAAGCTTTTTATAGCAGCCCAAGTTTTTTTTGAATTACCATTTAAAGAGTTTAAGAACTTTTTTTTTTCTTTTCTTACCGCAGACAGTGTAAAATTTCTCAAATTTTTATAAGTGACCCAGTCCAATTCATTTTTGGAGTTTTTGAAGTTTTGTAATGCCGCATCTCTTTGCTTCATAAAAATTTTCAAATCTTGGGTTAACCATGGAGCTTTAGGTTTGGTTAATAACGATTCTTTTATAGGAGCATGATGATCAAATAAGGTTAAAATTAGACTATTAAAAATAATTATTTTATTTTCAATGTCATTTTCGTAGAATATGTCATTCCATGGTAAATCTTTAATATCAGTTAAAAAGTTATTCAAGTTAAAATGACCGATGTTTTATAATTTTAGGCACCTTTACCTCCCTTGTCAGACCAAGGTCACAGTATATTAGCTTATGATCGGAAATATTATCAGTTTGTATTACTCCGGAACTTATCACCAAAGAATTGTTTGTTACAAAAATCGCATCAATCAAAGAACTAACAGGGCCAGAAATTCGCGTAGGTTCATCAATAATCTGGGAAAAATTATAGTTTTCAAATAAAGGGACTAGTGGATTTTGAAGGTTCATGAGATTGATGTTAAAATCACCGAGACAAAAAATTTCATCGACAGTAGGGAAAATATATGAAAAAATGTTGTCAAAATCAGAAACTAGAAGATTGAAATTTAGTTTCGGTGGTCTATAAAAAACACATACAGCATAGCTTTTATTGGCAATTCTTATCTTAAATAATAAATATTCCAGTTGTGCATTAACTTCAAAATCAAGAGTTATAATATCAATAGTAAGGTCAGTTTTCACATATGATGCAACACCCCCACCTCTGCTTAAGCGATCCTTTCTAATAAGCTTGTAATTAGGTATATTAAAATATTCTGTATTATCACCAATATTAAGCCAAGTTTCAGACAAAAGCAAAATATCAAAATTATTTTGCTCTACAAGTTTAAATTCATTAAAATGAGTGAAGAGAGAACGTACATTCAAGTGACCAATCTTAAAATTATTTATTTGTGTAGGCATAGTGAAGAATCAGTTAATTAGAAAAAACAAAAAAACAAAAAAACAAAAAGTGACAACAAAATTATCTCTATGAATTACTGTTGTTGGTGCCAAACTTCTTTCTGATCTGATACAGGCGGTGAAGGATACTTACGCGGAGCAGATTACGTCTGATGAAATTTTTGCCTGGTGTGATTCACAGATTTTATTAGCATGGCTCGCTTTCCCTGTTTGTCGTTGGGAGACTTTCGTAGCGAACAGGGTCAACTATATTCAAGAAAAGGTTCCTTTTCGTTCCTGGAATTACATACCTTCCGCCCTAAATGCGGCAGATCGTGCTTCTAGGGGGATGTCTCCTTCTGCCTTACTCAATCATGAAATGTGGTGGAATGGCCCAGCATTTCTTTCTTTACCGAGACCGAGAAGTCAGTGGTATGAAAATGACTTTTTGACGCCACCTGTCGATGACACGGACGTCATTCAGGGCGAGAGAAAAGTCATCCTGACCACAGAAATTACAGAGCCTCATTTTTTAGAGACTATACTGAACAAATATAGTTCTTTAGTTAAAGTTCAAAGAATCCTTTCATTCTGCTTTCGCTTCGCACACAATAGCAAAAATCAACCCTATTGTGCCAAATAGAGAGCTTACTTAATTCTCATCCGTTGTGCGCCCAAAGTACTGATCTGAACGATCTCATTCCCCTTACTTCGGGACATTTCTTGACTCTGGAACCTCTGAATTTGGTAATACCAGAGGTCGATATTTCCAAAATTAATATTAATAGGCTGTCACGATGGCAACTCATTAGCCGTTTACATAACGACTTTTGGAATCGTTTCAAAGAGTATGTCAATACGTTACAGCAACGGCAAAAGTGGTGTGAATCGGGTTCTAAAGTTAAATTAAACGATTTAGTTCTCATTAGTAAAGATAATGTTCCACCACTGAAATGGCCGTTGGGTAGAATTGTTGAGCTGCATCCTGGAAACGACAACCAAGTACGTGTTGCTACTATCAAAACGGCGATTGGGCAATATAAAAGGCCAGTTATTAAACTGTGCCCTCTCCCTTCGAGTGATTAAATAAATTTAATCACTATTTACAAAAATTAAATTTAGAAATGTATATATATATTTTTTTTCTCTTTTCTTTTTGGGTATGTTTACGAAAGTTATATTTGGTAACAGGTACTATTACCAGTATTTTGGTATAGTATGTTCAATTTTCATTATTTTTTATTTTATTTTTAGTTTTTCTCTTCTCTTTCTTTTTTCTATTTTTTACGTTATGCTAGTTAAAACACAGGTGTTTTGGCCGGCGGCAAATGTTAACGCAACATTATTTATAAATTTGGTTTCTTCTCATTCTTATTAAAGAATTACTTAAATGTCAGTTTCGCGTAAAACACACAGGAGTGTATTTTCTACGATCCTGCGCCGACCGAGGCAGATAGCTGTTGAAGATTTGGATTTACACACTAGCTAAATGGTACTTGATATGCACGTTGCATTTTCTACCGGTTCCGTGTTTTACGCTCGAAAAGTCTATGTCTTGTGCCGTTAAAAAGGGACCTTGAGTGCCTTAAGTCGATGGTGATACGTTGGTGGTTGTGGAGAACCGTTTTCCAGGGGATCCCCATATATATGCACAGCTTATAAGAAAACCTAGGTGAGTGGAAATATCTTTTGTGTGTTTCGACAACCCTATGGAATCATTTTCATTTCTATTTCAATTTGTTTCCGCGATTTTCCACTCGCAGTCCAGTTTACTAAATTTCAAATACTATTGCGTAAACAATAATGTTAAGTATTTTTTTATACTAGACTAGAAAAATAAAAGTTTTTCACGTACTACATTTAAGTGCGAAGGATGCAATTTTCCTCAAACTTAATCACTTATTATATTATTTACCTTAATCACTGGAAAAAGTTGATGTACCCCAACCTTCTCCAGAAGCGAAAATTGTGTTTTCGGACAAGTCGCGTGCTCCTTCATCCCAAGATTTTCGAGACAAACGGTCTCCCGAAAAGCAACGTTCACCTCAAGAAAAAACTTTTTCGACTTTTAACAAGTCAAGTTTGTCGGAATCTGAAGATGTTGGACCTCTTGCCAAAGAGAACGTAGTGTTAAGTTCGTGGTCATCCATAGAAGAGCTTGAAAAAATTTCCCAATCAAATTTGATGGAAATTGAGCCTTCCGCAGAGTCAATTGTATCAATATCTGATAATGAAGATAAGGAAGGAAACATCCAAGCCTATTGTTCCTCCGGAATGTCAAATGAGTCATCTCGTACAGAAGAAATTCCTACAAGCACTCAGGCCAGTTCTGCAAAACTCATATTGGATAATAATAAAACCGTATCTGGTAAGTTGGTTTTGCTTATTCTTATCAAGAATAATGTTATATATATTTTTTTCATACAAGTATGGAAAAATAAACTTTTTTCACGTACAAGGTTGAAGGATGCAGTTTTCCTCAAAAGTACATACATTTTGCAATAAGACATAAGCCTTTATAAACGTCGGTGATTTAAAATTCCAAAAAAGCGTTATACGAGAACTACCTGATGGATAAAAGAAGACATTTTTGTAATTAGGCATGAAAAAGCCAGTTTTTAAATTTGCATTTTTGGCTCATTCATTTCATCAATTTATTTATTGGTTTCAAAAATATTAGCAATTCATATGTAATTTAATATTTTTTGAACGCAGATTCAACTAGAACATTGGGATCACGCCAGTCAACCACTACAGATGATACAAGTAGCTTAATGTCGAACAGTTATCAACAAGGTGAGGGTTTTTTTAATGAACAACTTAGTATCCATTTATAAAACAACAGTTGTGTATTTCGGTGTAAATTTAATAAAATTGGCTGAGCGCTTTCGGTCTTATTAGACCATCTTCAGAGCCGCCTCGTCATAGAAATCGTGACTCAACATAGGACATTAAAAAACAAAACACCAAATAATGATACATTACAACGGAGACTTAAATAATATTAAAACACGCTTTAAAATTCTTGTATATAAAACAAACAGACACAAAAGATGAACAAATGGTAATTTTAAAAAATTTAAAAAAGAGAATGGTACGCTCTTAATAAAAGTACGTTTCTTCAGAAAAAAAGAAAAAAAAAAAAAAAAAAAAAAAAAAAAGACAACCTACTTTTATTAAGAGCGTACCATTCTCTTTTTTAAATTTTTTAAAATTACCATTTGTTCATCTTTTGTGTCTGTTTGTTTTATATACAAGAATTTTAAAGCGTGTTTTAATATTATTTAAGTCTCCGTTGTAATGTATCATTATTTGGTGTTTTGTTTTTTAATGTCCTATGTTGAGTCACGATTTCTATGACGAGGCGGCTCTGAAGATGGTCTAATAAGACCGAAAGCGCTCAGCCAATTTTATTAAATTTACACCGAAATACACAACTGTTGTTTTATTTCGTTTCGACAGTGTACATCCTGCTCTTCAAAAATTTATCCATTTATGTTTTTATCTACTGTTATAATAACCTTTCTGATGATGAGGGTAAAATTGAGGCTGATGATGTTTGGGGGGTGCATTTTTCATATCTTCAAAAATTTGCACAGTATGTCCGAAGTTTATAGTTCAGTTTAAAGTATTCAACTTGATAAAAACGTACCCACCGAATTTCGATTAGTTATTACAAAACTTTAGGCACCATAGCATCCTCCTCTAATTTAATTGTAATTATTGTCTTGGCTTGTCCTGTAATTTTTAGCAGTAGAACGTTAAAAAATTAAAACATCTTTTCAATTTGATGTTCATTAAAATTTCTAGGCTGTATTTTTGAATTATTTCTGCAAGAGAGACTGCATGGTGTATACATTACTTAATAAAAAATTGCATAATTTGAAGCTTCCTGCACTGGTAATGTTATATTATCTACGTATATAAATGAAATAAATTATAGACGACATACTCCCTTTCCTTCTAGATTATTTTAAAATAATATTGGAATTTTTTGAACACAGATTTGGAATCGAGCATTTCAGCAGCTTCAGATGATTCAGATGATAGACACAGCTCGCCGATCAGTATCAGACGTAGTCTAGGTAAGATTATAATATTAGAAATAAAACAAAATATATGCGTTCTTCTTTACTTTGATAAAAGTTAGGTATATATTTTTAATTGAGGAGTGAATTGGAATGTATAGGGTGTTTGGGTATTCTTCGTCGATTTTTAACTGACACTTGCGATATGAGGAATATGTCATTAATCAACGCTTCCTTTTCATTTTTCATGATTATGACATGTTGATGATTAATTTTGAGCTTGGAGCACAAGCATAGAAACTATTGAAATCACAAGTGAAAACTTTCGAAAAAAAAAGTATACTCCTCGTTAGTCTTTAGAAATTGGAACTGACGCCAGGATAAATATTTTTTTTTTATTTTTAGATCGCAAAGCCAGTAACCGAACAAAAATAAGGAGCAGGTCATCAAAAACGCTATTTTTAGATGAGATTGATGCGGCTGCATCAGATACTGATGAGTAAGTACCTCTTCCATTTTAAATACATAATAATTAATAATAATGGACGTCAGCAGTCTGTATATAATCTTTCGACATCAAAAAATGCGAAATGCGGTCTGTGCAGATTGCAGAGAAAGGCTTTTTTAATTATTGAAGACAGACGTTGCTGAAGCGAAAAAGTGACTGTCGATATATTTTTTTAGCTCGTAGTCAAGATTGTCAAGAATCTATGGGTTTATGCGATAAAATGTCTTATGAAACGAATATTTTATACTATTTTTTCTATTTTGGTATTGTTTAATTAAAAAAAAAAAAAAAAAATTCTTTGAAATTGTATTCTCATATTTTCTGATTTCATATGTTCAGGTTGGTAACACTACATGCCAAATATAGAATTAAATCTTCCATCAGCGATTTCCATTTGTAGAATAAGTGCGAAAAAAATATATCCCTATCCTTATATTTTACATGCTTTTAGAAAAAGACGCGGATACACCAGTGGCGGCTCGTGTTAATTAAAGATGGTAGTGCCAGAATTCCGAAAAAAAAAAAAAATTGGGGTGCCACACCTAAATTTTTACCCAAAAGCCGTATTGAAAACACGCCTGTGTCAAAAATTTATTCCGATATTATTTTTGTCATAAATAGTTTTGTTAAATTTACGACCGCGCGATTTTTGCCCACTTCCACTCTGTTTCTCAATTTTTAAATCCGGGATTGGCCGGCCTAACTCTTTAATTTGTAATTTTTATTCTAGCGAAAAACCACTAAACGACTTTTTCAAGACGCCAATTTTATTCATTGTCAGAATAAATTAAAAACTTAGAAATGGGATAAGAATACTATTTACAAAGTTTACTTTTTACAACGCACTGAATGTTAATTGAAAAAAAAACTAAAAAAAGACACACAACTCTTATCTAACGTAACGTTAAAAACAGTAAAAGCGCATAAAGATAGTCGTTCATTCGTCAAGAATCGACATCATCCAGAAACCCCGACCGCTGTGCCGGGCACAAACTTTCGTAGGTTTCACTGTTTCAATACTATAAAAATTTCCAACATAGCCCCATCTCTGTCGCTTACATAGGCTGCTGGTAAAATCTCTCTCTCTACCCCAGTGCCCGCTGAAAAACGGCACCGTTCGCGTCGCGTCGAGCTTGGAGATTGCCGCAGCGCGGTACAGGATCTCGCATTGCGCAGGGTTGCCAGATTTGAAATTATTTATGGATATAAAAGGAAATGCATAAAATTTTAAAAAAAATAGCATGAGACATTTTAAAAATAAAAAATATATTTTTACAGATAAATAAGGTAGTGCCATGGCACCGTGGCACTACCTCACGAGCCGCCACTGGGATACACTCAGTGCGCACTGATTGACAAATGGAAATCGCCATATAAAATCGCGAATGACAGTTCGATGGCCATCAGTCAGCCAGTTTACCAACTTCCGATAGGTAAAAAAGGAGTGTCACAAAGAGCTTCTTTTCGAAACTACTACGAATTTGCGTCTATGGGAAGTTCAAATAGATTCGTGTTTTGTGGTTCAAATTTTCCATTTTTCGGTATAACATAAATTCTTGAGAGATGGAGACCTTCGATGAAGAAATATTCGAAGCAGCGAATGCAGCAGTCGGCTCTTTGATTCCACAAAAATCCCAGGACCGGCACAATAAAGCATATGAACAATAGAACTTTCTCATTTTACCTGTGCTGCGCGCGCCGCTTGTGGGTGACAGATAATAAAATTGTCAATTGAATGAACGCGGTCTGATGCTGACTTTCTTTAAGCTAACCTCAATTATCAATCAATATTGCTGAAAATTATTACAAAAACTGTTTATTATACAATGGTTCAAATGTGTTGTGTATGATCTTGTCAGAGTGAGGTAGAAAAAAAGTCAAATCTTTCTTTTCACAAGTTCTCAAGCAATCAAAATGTAAGAAAACAATGGTTACGTGATCTCAACCTGACTGAAGACGATTAAAGTTGGAACAGAGCTTTGAGGGTTCGTAAAATAACGATTTCTATATCAAATACAATGATAATTGTACAATTTAAGGTTTGCTAGCACTTGCAAATTCGTACTTCTCAAACTTGTCATTCCACACAGGTATCGCGCGTCATTATATGTGTCTCTTTCTTTATTGCAGAAATCCTAATAAAGTATCCTTGTTGTTCAGTTCATTACATGAAAAACGTCCATACAAACGTTTTTTTTTTAAAGAGTGCGGTAATAGTTATTTACCTAACAAATGCGGAAAGTGATACTTTACCGCACGCAACGGCAGTTGACCGAACGACGCGAAGCGGAGTTCGGTCAAGTCGTTAAGGGCGGTAAAGGCACTTTCCGCATGTGTTAGGTACAAAATTTTACCTATGAGCATCTACATCTCCAAAAAAGGGCATTGATAAAATTATTTATTGAATCAGATTAATGAATGAAATTAGATTAGATTTAGAAATTATCAAAAATCCATTTTCTGGAAAAAAAAGGATTTTTGATTATAAATATCAAATTCTACTTTACCGCACACTATGCGGTAAAGTGCACTTTACCGCACACTTTGTAGTCCACTTTACCGCATACTATGCTGTAAAGTTCACTTTACCGCACACTATGCTGTAAAGTTAACTTTACCGCATAGTGTGCGGTAAAGTGCTACTTTCCATTTGCAAATACGTGCGGTAAAGTGCACTTTACCGCACGCTCGTAGGTAAAGAATTTTTACAGCACTGAGTGCGGTAAAGTACTACCTACGGCACGCAAACGAGTGCGGTAAAGTGTACTTTACCGCACGCGAGTAGGAAATAGTACATTAAAATACAAGTTTCATAAGACGTCATTTTATCGCACGAGCCCTATATTAGAAAACGAGCCGGAGGCGAGTTTTCTAAAGGGCGAGTGCGATAAAATGTCTTATGAAACGAATATTTTATACTATTTTTTCTATTTTGGTATTGTTTAATTAAAAAAAAACAAATTTTTCTTGGAAATTTTATTCTCATATTTCCTGATTTCATATGTTTAGGTTGGTAACACTACATGCCAAATATAGAAATCTTCTATTATTCATTGATTATAAAATCATGAATGACAGTTCGATGGCCATCAGTCAGCTAGTGTTACCAACCTCCGATAAGTAAAAAAGGAGTGTCACAAAGAGCTTCTTTTCGAAACTACTTTCAGTGTCGAAAAGACTTCGATATGACACCAAAATAGAAAAATGCAATTTTCAAAACCCTCCGTACCCTTAAAAATGTTACTTTATGGCACCAGTGCGATTAAGTCTTTATGGCACTGGTATTAAAAGTAGTGACTGGTAGTGTCAGGATATTTCAAATTTTCCGTAAACAATCAAGCCAACAATAGTGGTTAGGTTTTATTGACAAATGTCAACTTCCATGATTTTATATGTAAAAGATGCTATTTAAAATTATCTGCGTTTAAATTTAATTTGTAACTATATTATTGCTTGTTGTTGTTGTTTGTAGAAAAAATATTTTATGATATTTGTGTTGAAAGTATTTTTAAGGCACGCACATAACTTTTACTTTTAACATTTATATCATAAATAACATAAACTTATCATCAAGTACCTACATGGCAATTGCTCCTTCAACCTATAATTTCTATGTCCAAACTTCATTTATACAAGTAGATATTGTACTTTCACGTTAGCCCAATATTGCCTTTAATAATAAAAGAAACTTTTCAATGAGATCACCGATCATTTTACGTTTTTGATTACGTCTTCCAGTTCCATTAACTTTTTCCTAGTCCAAAGTCTTACACTGAATATTGCTATAGTATTTCCAAACTCAATTGGAACAATGTACCAACTGGTGGCTGACTGGTCACCAAAAATTTCCATAAGAAATGCACTGCCACTAGTCAGCCACCAGTTATGATCTATGTTCACCTTGTTCCAATTGACTTTGGAAACACTATACACGCAAATTTAATTTTTATCGTGTTTTATGAGATGTCTTCGAATCTACAAAATTTATTTCTGGGGGTTTTAACCGACTACTTTATATCCTAGATCCTAGATAGTTGAATTTGCAAGCAAAAGTAGCTATGTGCTGGCAACATCTCCGATCCTTTCTACGACATAACACCATTACTATCTATTCGCTAACCTCCAGATTATCCCCTCATCTTCCCAAAATAATCTTCTATATTTATTCGAGTCCTGACCCGCAATGATGGATAATTATAATGATTTCCGATGACAGGACTTGACAATGAACTTACATGCTTCATTTATCTACACTGCTTCTTATAGATTCGTTGCGTATAGATAGTGTAAACTAGTTTTATTAGATTTTTCAAAAATTGGTCCGCTGACAAAAGACAACGTCTCTACTACCTAAGGGGTAACTTTGGAGGTCCTAGGGGGAGCCAACTGTCTCTACCACATACGGATGGAATGCCTGTGAAATTTTTCTGGTTCTTAAATAACTTTTCCTAGCTGCAATGAGGCTAGCCTGATAGTAAGAATATCTCCCTTGGTAATAGCGATAGAATAACAACAAGTCGGCCATCGGGGCGCGATTTTACATATGTAGAGAGCTTCGAGTCTATAAGCTCTGCCCCCAAGCCCAGTCCAGCTTTGGTACAGTATTAAATATATCTGTAATGCGGTATAGAATGTAATCAGAAGTGCGTAAAATGTCATTGGGTATAGTACGTAATCGCGTTATAGGCGCGCACGCGGGATAACTATTTCAACCTATAATAAACCTGTATTTGGGCATTCAGACTATTTTTCAGATAACTGCCACGTCGGATAGTAACTTAGTTATTTTTTTAATTTTGATGTCAATGGGGTAGTATATAAGTGATTTTTAGCTACTGCGTAGTGATATACTCGACGTATCGTACTATTTAGTGTAATCAGTTGCTTTGTAAAAACCGCAATACACTGGAATTTTGTTTTAAAAATTTCCTCTAAGCCCCGCCCTTACGTGAAAATAAAAGTTCTTGACGTAGTTAGTTTTTCCAATCTGA